TGGAGACACTGCTAACTTTTTATTAAGCAATTTTAAATGTGCATCATCAAAATTTATAAGGGACATGCCACTATATTTTCCTCTTAAGATTACTCTTTCCTTCAACTTTGTTAAAGCATCATGTTTTTAATGATGTCATCATACTTCATCAAGGTTGCAGGTTACCAGATACTTAGTCTATCCAGGGAGGTATTTAGGTTGTTCCCAGACTGTTGATGTGACGAGGATGTGGGAGGGAGCACTTGCATCTGCGTCCATCACTATCTTTGATCACAGAAATCTTTGCCACCCTGGTGGAAGGCAGTTGTGAGACCGTGACTCAGTTGAGTTTAAGAGCATGAATACACAAGCCAGACAGCCCATGGTGTGACCTTGAGCAAGTTACATAACCTGTCTGTGCCTCCGTCTCCCTATCTGTAAAACGGGGGAAAATAAAGGCACTTAACCTCACTGTGACGTCATCTGTGTCAAGGGCTCTATAAATACTATAAAAGGATTTGCTTTTAATATTTACCAGGAATCCTAGGAGTTGGGTGCTAACTGGTTAAAAAAGTAACATTTCATGGTTTCCTGTACATATTGCTGACTTGAGAGTGTGAACTAATCTCTTTTTTGTAACCTTTGGCCCCAGCAATGTTATGTCCATAGCCGTGTGTCTGATAAACATTTATTGAAGCAGCTTCTCTTGGCAGCTTGTGAACATCTCTTGGTTCTTTTAATTCTGTTGATTTTTCTGCCTCCCCCTCTAGTCTGTGAATTCCTTAAGGGCAAAGACTATTTGCTAAGAATAACAATAGCTAATATTTATCCAGTGCTTTCCTCTGGATCAGTGCTGAACACTTTGCATGCCTTGCCTTATTTCCTCTGCCCAGCAACCTTAGGAGGCAGGTGCTGCTCTCAAACTTGGCCCCCAGTTGACTCAGCCTTGAGCAAACAGTGAATGCCGGGCTGTGCTGCTCCTTCCCAAACTTGCCAGATCAATAGAATCACCTACAGCACTGAGGTGGAATCTCCACCCTACGCCTGGAGATTCCGATTCTAAAAGATTGGGGTGGAGGTCCAGGAATCTGAATTTTCACCCCAGGCAATCCCATCTGCTGAGGCCCTGTCTGCACAACAGTGTAGTAGTGGCTGGATGACCTTGGGGCCCCAGGTTTCCTCACCTTGAGCTAATTTAGGCTGCTGGCTGGGAGGCTTTTCTCTGGGCTGTGAATGGAGTTCTCAGCCACATTATTGACTGAGACAGAAGAGGATACGGGAGACCAGGGGAGATGATGTACCCACTCTCATTAGTATGCAAGGCCCTTCTTGTCACATTGCCTTTAATTGAAACTGAAGGGCTGGCGCATCTCTCCCTGGGATTTTCCACTCTCAGCCCTTCCGGAACTGGCTGGGCACCAACCTGCCAAGGGAGACAAGGACGACACAGGGGCACTGAGGCATCTGTCTCTTGGTGTTGGAAGCCAACCACAATGATGTAGAACTCAGGTGGAAACTGGGTTCCTTCAGCGTCGCTGCTCCACCTCCCTCCCCCCAGCTTTCCTCCCTTCCCCCCCTTACTGAATTGCTACCTGTGTAAAGTAAGTCACCTTCTGTCCAGATCAGAAGAAGACCACGCAGAGATTTGATCTGTTTCTTAGTTTTTAGCAAAGTAGTCCTTGCACATGGTTCTCATGGTTCCTAAGATTTATAGGATAAAACAAAGCCCTACTGAACATCTTTAGCCCTTCCACCCACGTCAGCCCTGGATATAATCACTTCAAACTCTTGCTGTTTCTCTGGTGGTTACTTCTGTGTCTCTAACAGGCTTATTTTTATGGCAGGTAAGATTTATATATAAAAAAAGATTTTAGATAGGATTTACTGATTTTCGGCCATAATAGATGAGGGTCAGCCCACTTATCGTCTATCCTTACCATCCCCCAAACAGCTAAATTGTTTTTCTGTTCTGTTCCTTTATTGGTTGACTTGTTTAATTTCAAGTAATTTATCAGCATCTTTCTTTTTACCTTTTTGGGGATGGAACTTGTATACAATAGTGACTACAGTGCATATACTGAGTAGCTATAAAGCAAATACCCATGCTGCACACTGTCACTTGAAAGCTCCCCCCACCATGAAGTCTCCTACCCTGACGTTGGTGATAATTGTTTTCTTGCTCTTCTTTAGCATTCTCTTCACCTCTGTATGAATCTCTCAACATTGAGATTTGCATAAACAGAATCACACTATGTGTATTATTCTGTGCCTTGCATTTTTCTTTCACTGCTGTTAAGCTGATCCAAGTTGATGTGTGTAGCTGTGGCCCATTCATGCTCACTGTTGTATAATCACTGGCCAAGTAGACCATAATTTGTTTATCCAGTCAACTGTTGACAGACATTTGGGTTGTTTCCAGTTTTCTGCTATCACGAGGACCCTAACGCACATGTGTGCAAGGGCTTCTGCAGGGGGAATACAGGATTGGAATACCCCGTTACTCATTGCCAGACCCAGGTCTACTTGATGACACTAATCACCTCCAGAGACTGTGGCATAATTGTGTGGGGCCTGTGCAAAACTCCCTAGGTAATTCCACTGTGAAGTTTCATATCCCACCTTTATTTCCAAATTGTTTGCTGTGTCTCAACTCTACTTTGAAGGTCCCTAGTTCTTCATTCCTTCCTGGTCTTCTCTCTCAAGATTTGTGTGAGACCTTTTCCCAGGCAAGATCAAAGTATAAGGGGTGGTAACAGGTTATCAAGGCATGGACAGGAATTGGTTGAAATACTGGGATACAGTCATGCAGGTAAATTCTTCCTTCTGGAAGGCTTGAAGAAAACTAAAAAACCTCAAGGGATGGGAATTCCTCCTAGAAGCCAATCTCTCCCTCTCGCTACTATAGCCTCCAGCCTCTATCTGCCAGCTGTATACCAGAGCACTCTAAGAGCTTAAAGTTTTGAGACTCACAGGCAGCTAGTACGATACTTAGAAGTTGAGGGGAATTCTAGATTCCTCTGAAGGTCTTACAGTCACGTTTCTTTAACGTGATTCCAATCCCAGTCTGTTCCTCAACCCTGGCAGATCATTAGCAACACACCGAGCTTTGTCTAAAAACTACTGCCTGGGACTGTGTCAATGACATCAGAGTTTCTGGGTGGACGCTCAGGCACCAATAGGTTTCAGAAGCTGACCATGTGATTCTTAGATACAGCCAGACTAGAGAACCAGTAGTGAGTGGGTCTCAAACTTCAGCATCCCCCACCATCACTTGGAGGGCTTGTTAAAATGCAGATGGCTGGGTTCCACCCTATTCTAGTTTCTGTACACCTGGAATGGGGCCATGCATTGTTAAGAATTTCCTGGTGCTGCATATGTCCCCCAGCCACACTTAGAATCTCGTAGGTCTCCAGTTCACACCTGATACTCTCCAAGTCTCCCTGCATACCTCCCTGTGAGGATCCAGAGCAGCCCAGCTGGTATGTACCTCTTCTCACTCTGTATCATGCAGCCAGGCTGGAGGCTTGCAATAGGCTGTGGAAATGGCAACTGCCACAAATCAGGACATTGTCCCAACTTCCAGTCAGCTGTTAAACAATCACCAGCACATCATGGATCAGTGGGATTGCGGGAGAGCTCTTAGCAAGGTGTGACGAATTCTTGGCTATTCCAGTTCAGTGTCATTGTCAATAGAGTTTAGATGCAAGAGTCCTCACTGTCCTTGTCCATAGCACTTCCATATTATATAGAACAAAAAAGGTATATACAGTGAAAAATATTTTTTTGAAAAAGTCCATGACCACAAGCCCCAAGTATTAAAAATATTTTTCTAGTTTGAGTTACTGATACAAAGATTTCTAGTACACAACAGCAAACAAATACATTACACATTTTGATAGTTATTAAACATAGAAAATAGACTCTGGGGTCTTCAGCATTTCAAATTGCCTTCTTGTTTGGCACTTGGGGATTGTCTACACACTGGGCCAAGACAGAACAAGTCCACACCTGGAACCTGAAGAGCTGAAAACAGATTTCCTTTGAATGAACCAAGACCACAAACACTCGGAAAGTCTTTGTGTACCCTCAGTTTGAAAACTGCCAGGCTGGTTTGTGGTGCTGAAGGCATTCATCCCACTTCCATCAGGAAATAATGGCCTTGCACAGGACAGCATATACACCTCACCTCTGTGCTGACACCTGGCTAGTGTATGCCCTTAGCTGCTGGGAGATCAGGACTGGCGGCCAACCCTACCCGGTAACACATACATACACCCTTTCTACTAGAATAGTGCTTTACACAAATCAGAGCCTGCAACCTGCTCAAATAACCTTTCTGGCATTAACACACAGGACAAGCCTTTGGGACACTAGAGGGAAAGCTGTTATTAAATAAAAAAGGGAAGGTCTTTCCAAAAATGCCCCCCTCCTCCACAGACCCAGGGGACTGAGGTTTCCATATTTATTTTGGGAGGGGCTTTTACACGTAGGGATTATTTTCCCTTACAAACACTGCTGTACTGTGTGCCCAGCTAACATTCCTGTTCTGTAGACCCAGGAAATCAGGGATGTCACATTCTTGTCCAGACCATGACACAATAAAAAAAAGATTCCCTTCTGACCTGGCGATTGACCCTAATGATAACCTGTTTTTCATTCTGGGTTTGTGGAGGGGAACAGGGTTTGTGTTGACAGATTGAATTGAGTGGGAAGCCTGGAATCTGTCATCATCTTTAGTAAAACTTCCTTTCTTCAGTACCCCGACCTGCAAAGCACACTTTTGACCTTCTTGTGAACGAAATTAAGAATTTCCAGGAAGCAGTTTTGAAACTTCAGGTGCTGCCCTTAGAGCACAGTGGCCTGGTGTTGTTCCTGGTGGATCTGAGGGGCTAGAACCAGAGTATGTGCTCATTGGGTTTCGGGGCAACTGACTTTGTCCACACATCAGTTTCTGGTTTCCAAAACAGAAATCTGTCTACATATGCAAACTGATCCTGACTTTCTCTTTCATTTCTTTGTAGTGAAATGCACGATGGAGGACAATGATGCGGTGCCTACAGCCAAGATTCCATCACCTTAACCACAGCTGGTATCTTTTCCTGTCAGAGCACAGCTTTCCCTGTGCAAGGAAAACATCTAAATTTCGTTAACAACAAGACTTAGTACAGGTGAAAATAGAATCTTTCCCACACAAGATAGCATGCGTTGCAAACATGGTTTAGTGCAAATAGTTTATAAAAGAAAAATACCAGTCTTAACTTTCTGCGTTATCCTCAAATTTTATTCTTTTATCCAGATACTTTTTCAGTGCTTCAGGAGTCTACATCACCTGCTGTTAAAATGTACAATGATGAACTCTAGTCCCAGGAGATGCTGAAGTGCTCTTCCTACCAGTTTTCCCACCTTGGGCTGCTTTTGCAAAGATCCATAGTCTCATTAAGTCCCAAACCTCTGAACTGGGTTTTACGTTTATCTGGTGACTACTCTTTTTATAAAGAAGACATTATTGCTTATGATCATTTCCAAAGGAGACCAGACCTTGACTTATTGCAAGCCCAACAAAATGAGACATTTAACCCAGATGTCAGTAACAAAGGAGTTTTGTTGCCTAGGCCCAAAGTATAAAAAATTCCCACTTTGAAGGGTAAATTAACTTATTACCCTCATTTGTTCTGTGGTTTGCCATTAACTTAGATTCTTCCATTCAAAATGCCACAGATTCAGCCTCAGGGCAAATCTAAAAGCCTAATAGTTGCAGTGAGTTGTTTTGACAACTACCACGCATCTTAAGTAAGTAGTAAAGCTTTTATTTTTGTGTTAAGAACAGCGTTTTGAAAATAAAACCTATCTGCCCATGCTTTACAACCTTTTAAATTTGTGATATTTATATAGTCATTTATGGTATACATTGATTGTCTCGAAATGTCTTTAACGATTTTTTTTTTAAGTATGCAACAGTCAGCCAGGGGAAGATAAAGGTACATTATAAAACACACATTAATGCATTTAATAAATATATATTATCTATCAAAAATGAGCCAGAGCTCTTCATTAATTAATAAAAAGCACCTGCTGAGAACTCCTGTAAGCTGGTAGAATCATTGCATCATTGGATTATAAAAGCCACAATGCTCCCTTTCAGTTTGGGGTTCAGCCTGAGGCGGTCAACTCAGCCTTGGCCACCCAAGAACACCACCCCCACTTCTCGCCTGTTTGATGGGCCCTGACAGCATCTGTGCTAAAGAAGAAAATCACCAGGCACTCAGCTTCCAACCACCGGATCCTCAACCCTGGAACCCCTTGAGACGCACATAAATTCCCAGTTTGTAAACTGTCAGATCTGATTCCCTTTTCCCCCACCCTCCATCTCCAGTGGAGAAACCCAGGATGGAACGACAACTTTCTATTAAAAAGGGGGACAAGAGTGGCTGTTATAGTCCCAAAGCGATTTTAATAACCAGACATGGAACGATTTGTGCTTACAATGAGGGATTTTGATCAGAGATGCTCTCCTTCCAGGTCATTTCCCCCAGACAAGTCTTATTTACACAAACAGATCTTAAACAGAGGTGCCATTTAATTTTGACTTTAAACTTCGCTCCATGCAGGCAGCCGGCTGCCACAGTCTCTTGGCAGAGATGCTTCTTGGTACTTTTCAGGTGAAGTCAATGAGCTGCCCTCTCCCTTCTTCCCTTACTCTCGCTTCTGTCCCCATTGTGAAGGCATTCAGCCCACTCTCAACCTTAAAGTCGCAATAAAACAAAACCCAGAAGCAGCAAAAATGTATTAGATTTAAAAAGGGGGAAAATGATCTCATTAAGTGAAGTTTCTATTGGCTCAAAGATGGTTCTGTTTTTATGGTGGGGAAACACTGCCTCTGGCAGCCAGTTATGCTGTGCTCACCTTACTCAGTTGGACAACAAAGAACTTAGAGAGAAAAACGATCATGTGAATCACTCCATCCCACGAATGGTATCAGAAAGCTCCAAAGGACTCCAGAGAGCAGGGGTGAGCAACCATCTCCTGGCACAAGAATGTGTAACACTGTCGTTTTTTAACTGCACTGAACCAAGGTGTATGGAGATTATTTTTCTTTTCATAATACTGGGTCTGCATGCAACTTCCCCATTCCAGCCCCCAGTCCTCAGTCCACCCAGTGATGGTCCTTGAGCGGAGGATTGGAATTGGATTCTCTAGAAGCAAGCACATGCTCTGGGCAGAGGCGGGGTGCTTCCCGGAAGGTCAAGTAGGGGTGGCATTCTGGGGCCATGCTTTTTCTTCCCCATGCATGGTAACACAAGGAAATAAACTAGCTGTTAAGGAAACCTGCAGGAGGGCCACACAGGGATGGCTAGATTGACCTTAGTTTCCCCAGGGCTTTGCAAGGGGGGGGGGGCACAGCAGAGACCAGGGCCTTGAGAAATATCAAAAGGTTTATTAAAACATACTCAGCTCAAATGTGCTGGCTTATGAAGTAGTCAGTTCTCCCCCACCCCCAAACACTAACCTTTTTCGTTTTCTTTAAAGGTTAAAGGCTTACGGGTAGTTTTATAGAAAAAGCAATGTAGTGATTAGAGTATATGCAAAGGACCCACCCTTGTTTATACATTCCATGCCGTCAGGTTAAAACTCTTTGCTTTGAATCCCTGCTAACGGTTATGCTGGCCAAACAGTGCAGAGAACATGGGGCTTTTGATGGCCGAGATGTTCAAAATGCTAAATAATAAAGGAATGACTTGATTAGGACAGATGGAAACCATGACAGAAACAATGGGCTTTGAAAAAGGCCATTTTCATGGAACCTGCAGAAAACCAAGACAAAAATGTCCCACACACCCATCAAAAGCAGCAAAAAACCCTTGTGTGATCTGTTCCACCCAGGAACTTTCACCATATTCATGGAAAAGACCCAAGAAGCCCCTGGTTGCTAAGAGGCAGGATGTCATCTCTTATCCTAGAGGGCACCCAGGAAGCCCTGCCATGGGACATCACGGAGGAAAACCGCTCCGGCGCCTGCCCTCCAATCTGCCCCGTAGAGGGGCTTTAAGATGGTGGCCCCATCTAAGCTTTTGAAATGAACATGGGAATAAACTTGGCAAGGGTTTGGAGGGGGTATTCCTCAGTACAGGAAGTGAGTGAGATGATCTGGCCCCAAGCCAGAATGTTCTATGGCTCTACAAGGGGAGGGGCAGGACTTTTTCACCATAGGTGCTAGAGCAAGAGGCCCACAGAAGGAACAGCAGTTGGTCACCACTTTCTAAATGTGATGGTCGCTTCAATGCCCAGCAAGCCTCTTCTTCTTTGGCACATGCCAGGGTCTTTTCACCACTACTGGCTATAAAGCTCACCCCACAATTCATTTGGGCCTTGCTTTGGAAACCTCCGTAACTCTCCTGACACCCCCTGAAATGTGCAAACCACCAGCAAGCCGGTGGAAAAGTTCCCATTTGTCCTCCTCAACGAAATGGTCATCTCCAAGGGGCCACCTGATGTCCAGCATTTGCTGGGGAGGGTCCAGCGGGTGGGGGCTCCCCCATATCCAGCTGACACCAGCCTGGCCCACCAGCTGTGGATTTGGTTCTGTTCTACCCCCAAAGGATGAAACAGTCTTCCCAGCCACATATTTGAGGCAGCCTAACACTATTTGCAATTAGCTTTGCTTTAGTTTGCGGGGATTGAGGTTGGTTTGGTATTACGTGTCTGTGTGTGTGGCAGGGGAGGGGAGGGCAGTCGGTGTTAGCTTTTCAGTTCATCAGTGTTCACATTTACATGAAATCCCCTTGGCTGGGATCTCCAAATTTCCTGGCTGTGAGGCGGCCTTGTTCGGCTACTGTTACCGATTTCTCCCTCAAGAAAGTCACAGCCAGGGAATAAAATCGGTAAGAGAGATTCTTACTCTCTGGAACTTAAAGTCTTTCACCAGAGGTGTCTTCCTGTGTGACTTGGCGGAGCAGTTGGGATCTGGAATAACACATAAGGATAACACACTAAGAACTCCGTGCTTTTGTAAAGTCAACATCAGAAAGCAATTCATTAACAAAGTGCCATGTTTTCTCCTAGATAGGCTGAATAATAAGTCTCAAGAAAAGAAGCAAGCACTGCATATTAGCTGCTGGGGTTCCTGAGAAGGCCATGTCTCCCCTCTTCTATAACCATCCACCCCTAGAGAATGTAGGTTTCCTTACCCAGAAACCCATTCACTTTCAAAGTTGTGGGTGTTTTTACACACGCTGGCCTTGAAGGAACCAGGAGGGCTTAAAAGTGAGTGATGGGGCCTTTTCTAACCATATTTATTATAACACACAGGCTGAATGCTTGTGAGTCAGGCGTTTCTTGGCCCTGGACAATAAAGCAGCCCAGTGGATGGCAGGGGGTTTTAAGAATGCAAATCTGCGATTCTATTTATCTTTGAGCCTGTTCCAAACCAATGCCTTGAATACCATTCAAAAGGCCAGGAAAACCTAAATTCCCTTTAGAGATCAAAGACCATCCCTAACTCACATTAAAAAAAAAAATGCTCAGGTTGAGTTATGGAATTGGCACATGATATAAAGGATGGAGATCCAATTTACACATGTAAACCGGCTCATGCGTCATTTCTGAAAGAAACATGTAGCTATGTTTGGAAATTAAATGTAGGAATGACAGTTGTGTCTTTGGATTGGTGGAGAAACAAAATGATGTCGTTCCAGGGAGGCAAACGTAAACGATGACAATTCTGCTGGAGGTCTGTTTGGCGTCAGATAGTCAAACTGCTTTTCTGTTTGAGGGATGGTCATAGCTTCAATTCCTTAAGATTTCTCTTAGGAAGTGGGGGGTACCCCGGGGGTACTAAGCTGGGGCACTAAGACAGAAGGGAGACCCAGGGACTTAAAATAATTGATGTCAACAAAAACTGCTAGGGAGTTCATCATTTTGGGCTTTTCCTAAAAGTCGCCTCACAGGGAGAGGGGTTGGTTGGGATCCTGTATAAAGAAAAACTCACTTGGGTGCAAGAGCCCCAAGAAATAGGGGCTCTTTCAAATGAATCTGCAGGTGGTTAATTAAGTATAGGTGGATTTTTCCGTGCATGGAGAAAGGGGGCAGAGACAGAAGAAAAACAGAAGCACTGCATGCATTCCAGCTGCAGGGGTATGGCCTTGAGCTGCTGTCTCTGCGGGCTGAGGAAGCAGCCTTCACAGAGCAGCATGTCCCAGATGAAGCTGCTCCCGCACACAGTAACGCTCTTAGCCTTCCTGCCAAAACATCACATCTTAATACTTACAGTCCCACCGTTGAGCACAACGGCCATCTCGGTTGGCTGATACACATTGCTTCTAAACGGAGCGGTGGGTCTTTTCCCCAGGCTGCCACTGGGTCTTTTCCCCAAGCTGCCATTGGGAAATCCTGCTGTTCGCAGAGCTGAGGGAGAAAGGGATTGGCAATACAACAACACCAAAAGAGAGACACAATTTTGTTTTCTTCCACGGGCTCTGGGCACCCTGTCCTCCCCCATGCCAATCGCTCCTCCCCTTTGTCACAAGCCTGATTCAAAACAAAAGTCACAAAGGAGCTTTGTTCTCAGGCCCTTTAGGAGTCTGCCTGGTCTCAGGGGGCTGGGAGACCAGTGATAGAGCCCAGGGCTGAGGCTGCGTCCCTCCCTCCAGCCACTTAGCCCCACTAGGCTATGGGTGACAAGTACCTCTATGCCCCTTAGGTCTCCTTTGACAAAAGACCTCCTCACTACAGAATGTCATTCATGTAACATTCAACATCCCATCACTCAGAACTTGCTCTTTCTGGATACACAGAAAGGAGGAAAGCCCTAAACATGGACATCAAGTTCACAGTAGTATTAAAACTCATCTTCATCAGAAAGTGACCGAGCAGAGCAGGACTCTAACCACACATGTCTTTCTAAATAAACAAGAATAAAAGGGACCCCTGAAGTCAAGATGGCAAAATCTGTCAGCACTTTTTCCCTCTGAAAGGTAGGTAAAATTGGTGTTTCTTACTCGCTGAACTTTTAGAATATTTCAATTTCCTTTTTTGTAAAGAAAACCAAATTGATATGAAAAGACATGGAGGAGTCCTAAATGCACATTGCTAAGTGAAGAAGCCAGTGTGTTTAAAAGCTACTATATGATTCCAACTTCTATGTTCTGGAAAAGGCAAATCTATAGAGATTAGTAATTGCCAGGGGTTTGGGTGGGGGAGGGGCAAATAGGTAGAATTCAGGGCATTTTTAGGGCAGCAAGGCTATTCTGTATGACACTGTAGGGCAGACGCAGATCACGATGTATTTGTCAAAACCCAAGGAATTGGGCAATACAAAGAATGAACTCTAAAGCATGAACTTTACTTAATAATAATGAATCAATATTGATTCAACAACTGTAACAAATGTATAAGGAATCCAAGTTGTTAATAGTAGGAGAAACTCTGCCTATGAACTGGGTGGGCGGTGGCATGGGGAACTCCCTGTACTTCTTGCTTAATTTTTCTGGAAATTTAAAACCATTCTAAAAGATAGTTTTGTAAAAAAAAAGTGCAAGCACTATTTAAAAAAAAAGTTTTTTCAATTGCAAGATGGCATCTTAATTATTTTCATTGAAAGTACTAATTTTTCTTTGCTAAGAAAAACCTCACTTAAAAGTCTTCCCCCAAAGGAGGCACTTTTCTAGCTAAAAAGCAGCAAGACAGCATGGGTTTTCTACAGACTACCTGAGGCAGGGACCAAAATCAACTTAGTAAAATAGTTAATCTGTCCAGAGTGCCAACCAGGAGCCAGGCACCGTAAGCACTTTAGATCTTTATCTCTATGTTGTACAAAAACTCATTTAACTTTAACAGTATGAGAGGTCCTTTTATTATTTCCACTTTACTTGGGACACAGAGTTTAAGTAACTTGCCCGAGGTTCCACGGTGGGTAAGAGGCAGAAGCAGCATTCGAACCCTGGCAGAGAATGTGTTCTCAACCCTCACCCTTCACTGGCGCCACACTTTTTAACCACCATCCTTAAGTTACTTAGAAACAACTCGAATTTAAGTGATTTTCAGGACTGATCAGCTCAGATTGGATAAAAGAAACTGAGGCAGGGTGGGAGATGCATATTCCCGAGGTACTTATGAAAACCTTCCTTGCTTTGGCATCCCCACAGCTTCAAGCAGCTCGCTCAGTGCTTGGGAAGGAGCTGCCTTTCCCAGGAAGTAGTGTGAGATTCCCGGGAAGCTGCACAGGGCCATGGGACACAGTCTACAGACTTAACCATTCTCCATTCCCAGGCCGGACATGCCCAGGGCAGGGAGAAGTCCAAACAATACGGCTTTCCCTGGCACCTGTGCTGGGGGAATATGCCTCCAAACACATTCTCCTCAACAGAGACTGGCTCTACTGTCCATCTGTGGGCTAGGGTACTTTGGCCTCAAGGGCCCCCCTCTGTAATAGCTATTTGTGGTTTTCCTCTGGTGAATATCCCTGCCACATAGACCCTAGAGTGTTGGCTACAACTATTTCTCCCTGGCTAGTAGGTCATCACATTGGCTCAGGGAAGGGCAGTCAGCCAACCCTGGGATTTTTTTGTTCAGGCATCTTGGGAAATGTTCCTCTTTCCCACTGGGTCTCTGTGCAAGCCTGGAGCTATGGGGCTGCCATAATGGACAGAGACCAAATCTTGTCACTACTTCAGTCTCCTGAATCTAATCAATCTTGAAGCCTGCTTCATTTTTCTAGTGCTTATTTGAATTGTACTTTTTATTATTTGCACATTACTTAAAGAAGCCCAACTAACCATAATTCTACCCTGACCTGAGCCAGATCTGAAGGGCAATCACAGCTCACCCACTGGGTGAAATGAAAGCCAGCCTTTTCTTACACAGACACTGCCAAGTAAGGCCAGGTTGACCCTGTCCCCAAAACCAACTCAGGGCCTTCCCATAGGAAGCAAAAGGTCAGTTTAAATAACCCCTAGCTCTGATGAGATCTGAGAGCCCAAGGCCCCTAACAGAAAAAAAAAAACACTTTGCTTTCTTGCTCCTTTGAAAGGGGAACATTTAATGTGCCTTGTTAACGCTTTCCAAGATGTGATCCGAAGTGCTACTTTAATAGTGTATTTTAATCTTCTTTAATTTTCTTAAAATTAATCTTCTTTAATTTTAACAGTGTATTTTAATCTTCTATCACATACCTCATGCCTTGTTGATACTTATTCATAAGTAGATGGGTGCAGTCGTACTTCTGTGGGGTCGCACTCTTGGGGAAGGAAATATGGGGCAGAGGCTGCTGGGGTTTGGCAGAGCCATAAAACAGCCTGGAGAACACCCTTCCCATTTCACGAGCATGTCAAGGATGGACACTCAAGGGAAGAGGACCTGACAGCTGGACAAGAGAGTTAAAATGCAAGAGAAACAGGCCAATGTAGCTCTGAGCCTGGCTATTCTATGAGACCCAAGGATTCGAGCAAGGGTAAGGCCCCTCCTGGGGCCTGATTCTTAAAATACAAGCTGGCTGAGGTCAGCACCAAAGACTCCAACAGCTGTTCCCTCAGCGCCCAGGAAGCGTGCCCAGATGATCCCCAGCCAGCACACCAAGGGTTTCTAGAACAAAGGCTACCTTAGCCAGGACTCCAACTCAGCCTTTCTGCATGAGCTTTCTGAGGAATGGCTTTGCCTGAGGCCTGTTCTGCCTGAGTCCATATGCATTTTGGTGGACACACATTTGGCATGATTCAAAAGCGGGATACTGGAAAAAAAAACAAACGAAAAAGAAAAAGTCTGACAACAGCCGGGGTTGCTAAAGAGGAGGTGAAATGAGGTTGTCATGCAGTCATCAATTTACTGCTGTAAGTTCTACTTTTCTGGGGTGCTATACGTATAGTAAGCCCTCGGTGTCACGGATGGGTTCTTGAAAACTGTGACTTTAAGCGAAACAACATACAGTAGGGTCCATGAATAATGTTGTCTGGTTATGAAGTTGATGAGAAAAAAAAATTGGCTTTGTTTTATGTTGTTTCGCTTGAAGTTTCCTAAAACCTATTGACGATGTTAATTGAGGACTCACCATATCAAACTTTTGAGGGCAGACTCTTCAACCCACATTTAGGAATATTTTTTGCAAGAAGTTTAATCAAAAGCCCAAAGATGAACGCGTAAGAATGTTCACTGCAGCATTGTTTATTGTGGAAAGCCAAAGTGAAGTGGAATACTCCACAGCTAAAGATCAGAAAACTAAATTAAGGTGCCTAATGGGAAGCTCTGCCTCCTTAGCATACTGTAGGTCTGCAGTCACTGACCTGGCAGGGCCTCCACGACGCTGACTTCAGCAAGCACACCAAAGACCCCCCACTTAGACCAGGGGTGTCAACATGGGTACACCTTAGAATCCCTTGGGAGCCTAAAAAACACCTACTCCCAAACTCAGACTTAAGCAGCAGAGTGAGGGGCTAGGCACTGGTAATTTTTTCAAGTAGCACAGGTGACTGTACCGTGTGGCCAGGTTAAGAACCGCAGCGTCATGTCATGTGTGTGTGAGATGTTTGGCAAGATGGGAGCAAACCGTTGGCAGTAGATGCCTTTGGCAAGGGGATTTCAAACAATTTTTCTTATTTTTACTGGCTTAGCCTGCATGGTTTCTTGCTGATTCTACATCGTTATTGTTGCTCCCTTACCACGAGAAAGGAATAATAGAAGTATTTGGGAAAGAAAGCTTTGGGAAAGAAAGAGGGGATGGAAGGAGGGTAACTTACTTGGTCTTGGAACATGTCAGAGCATGAAGCCACTGTGAGGAAGATGGGGGTGTAGGGCACCTCTCAAACCCTCCATCATCCCCTGTACAAGCATGGATCCTGTCAGTACCAACGTGGGTTCCACACCCTGTGGGTCTCTGGCCCTTCTGTGGATGTGAAGTACTGGCTGCATTTCTACAAGAGTGTGTGTAATGGGATTCAGAAACCCAACTTTGCCCCTCCCTGCTCTGCTGTGTACTTTATGAGTTTGAACAAGTTGCCTGACATCCCTGGCCCTCAGTTCCTCCTGCTGTAAAATGAGTCTGATCACCCTTATCTTGCCAAATGCACAGAGTTGTCCTGAGACAATAAATCAACTAATGGGTGATTATTAGAAGAGGAAGGGGGCTAAGCCTGTAAGCTCTGGATCCAGCCTGCCTGGGTTCAAACCCTGGTTCTGTCTCTTAGGCAAGTTGCTAAGCGTCTCTGCGCCTCAGTCTCCTGTCTGTAAAACAGATCTCTGGGAGTTATTGTAGGGCTTAAGTGAGATAGCCACTAAAATCCTCAGAACAGTACCTGGCCCATGGTCAGCACCTAACAAAGGTTAGTTATTCTTAACTTTAAAGACCATAATATTTGAGTAATTTTGGCATCTTGGTTTGTTTTTTTTTTTGAGACAATGTCTCATTATGTCACTCTCAGTAGAGTGCTATGGCGTCACAGCTCACAGCAACCTCAAACTTTTGAGCTTAAGTGATCTTCTTGCCTTAGCCTCCCAAGTAGCTGGGACTATAGGTGCCTGCCACAATCCCAAGCTATTTTTTTGTTGCAGTTGTCATTGTTGTTTAGCTGATCCAGGCTGGGTTTGAGTCAATCAGCCTTAGTGCATGTGGCCGGCACCCTAGCTACTGAGCTATAGGTGCTGCCCTGGGATCTTGGTTTTACTGCAAGGAAATACAACATCTCATTCAACAACACTGGTTCTTAACCTTTTGGGGGACACAAGTTCTGTGAGAATTTTCCTGGACAAAATTTTGCATTCATTTTAGATTCCATGGGAGTCCATGGGTCTCAGAAAAGAAGGTCCTCTCCAGGAGGAGATGGCAAAAGGATGGGTCCTCCAGGATGCTGTGGGCTCCCAGAGCTGATCTCTATTTCAGCTCTATCTTCTGGCACCCCAGGGAGCCAGCCTTCCAGCTGGGCTGCCGTCCTGGCCAAACCTCTCGACAAACCCATGCTGGAACTTTCTGGTAAGAAGAGAGCAACTCTGATAAAGGCCACATGGGAATTTCCAACCCTGTCCACACTGGAGTTCCCTCCTGTGAGTGTGCCCAGGGGGAGGGGTGCAGAGGACAGCAGGTACTTCCTGATGGGAGGAAGGGATGGGGACAGCTGCAAAGGATATGATGGTTTGTTGTGCTCCCCCAGGTGTGGGCAGGCTGCACTCCTGGCCTGAGCACTTGACCCAGCGAGGCTGACCAGGTTGTACGTCCAGTGCCTGAGCACCAGGCCCCTGGGTGGAAGTCGCTGAAGAGGGAATTGTGACAATCTGGAAGGGGCCACCTCCTAGCTTACATCCCTGGGCAAGTCACTTAATTTCTTAAGAGCCTCCATTTATTCATCTATAAGATATGGAGTGTCAGGTGGTGGTGAAGACTGATGAGATAACGCAGGTTAAAGACAGGGTAGTGCCTGGCACATGGTTAGTGCTCAACAAACAGTGACTCTACCAGATAATCATTATTGCTACTGTTAGTTGTTGTAGCCCCTGATGCAGCTTCAAGTAACTAAGAAAAGGTAATTTTATTTAATCTTGAGTGCTGGGAATCTGACTCCCTTCACGCGATGATTCTAAGAGATCCTTCCCAAGCACAGTAGCAGGGGATTTGGTGCCTGTAACCGATCCTTTAGGTATACCACCCCTGGATCCTGCCAGAGCAATGACAGTCCTGGGTACCCAATGTCATTACCAGTGCCCACCACATCGCTGTTTTTATTCCATGGAATCCAGTGGAACTCATTCAGCCCATTCATGAGTTATGTGGGCTGTTAATGACAGTGGGAAACAGGAGTTGGTGGACAGACGCCCTGGCCTCCTGTCCTTCCTAGGCCTATTGTGAGGCTCATTCTACGTGTGTCCTCAGAGGGTTCCCAGCGGAATCGAGCCCCAGCTGCCCATAGCAGTAACTGCCTCATGAATGCCCTTATTCTGGCGTTTCTGCCTTCCCCATCTCATTCTCCCAGCCCTCTTCCTCGCTGGCACAACCTCCCAAGTAAACATCCTGCTCTGAGCCCTCATCTCTGACTCTGCTTTTAGGGGAACCCAGCTAAGGCGCACAAATGACACACTGGGAACAGGGAGGCTTCATGCTCACCGTTACTTTTCTCAACAACTTTAGGAAGCCCATTCTTTTATTGTGTCCACTTCAAGGGTTTAAAAAGAATGGAGGCTTAGAGAGGTGATGTCATTTGCTCAAAACCACACACCTGGGAAGCGGCGGGGCAGGATCTGAATCTAGATGTCTGCCTCCAGGGCCCAAATCTACACACTATGACTGAGGCAGGGGAGGGGACAGCAGCAATCTCTGTGTTGGTATCAGCATAGGGACCAATGTTTGTGGACTCTAACCCACCAGGACTGCCCTGGGACCAGGACCACCCATCCCCACTGCAGAGAAGGAGGAAGCTTCCTGGGACAAACAGTCCTGGGGGCCAAACACAGCCAGGTGGCACCCACTGTACCTGCATTGTGTTCATCCATTGAGAAGGCCTTGTTCTCCATGTAGGTCCTCGGCAGCTGCACGTCCTCCTCGAAAGCCGTCTCTCGCATCCTTGGCTGCGACGTGTCGAAGTAGTTGGGCGTGTTTTCCTGCAGGGCCGGGAGGAGGGTGCAGTGGATCTCAGGGATGGCGTGGAAGATGACGAAGACCCAACCGCTGGCCGCCAGCGTAATGGCCAAGGTGGGGTCGTCCCAAGCGTCTCCCTCCTGAAGCTTGATGTTGCCGAAGAGGTACATGGTCATCCAGGCCACCCAGATGAGCACAGAGAGGAAGGCCGTGATGAGGAGGAAGGCCCCGTTCAGCTTCCACCTCTTGAACTTGCCGCACAGCGTAAAGAGGGCCAGCCCCAGGGTGACCACGAGCAGTACCATGTCGTAGATGAGGGCCATCACGAAGTCCATGGGCTCATAGTCACAGGCCGGCCTTGTGTCACGCAGCACGGTCAGCACCAGCCACTCCACGGCTATGATGACCTGCACCAGCATGAGGCACAGTGCCAGGCCCACCAGCTGCCAGCCCGCTGGGCCTGTGCCATGGCGCACCAGCCTGCGCACACGCCATGCCTGGCTCAGCAGGCAGGAGAAGCACAGCGCGAAGAGGACGCCCCAGAGGAAGCGGCGCACGGAGCAGATCGTCTCGTCCTCCTGGATGATGAAGGCGAACGTCAGCCCGAAGAGGCCCAGGGTCCCCAGGAGGAAGAGGAAGTGGAGGCCCACGGGGCTTTTCTTCTCCTTGTCCTTGATGAATGGCAGCCGCACCAGGAGGATGAGCGTCAGGAGCAGCGTGATCAGGGCACCTGCCCCGGCCACTGCCTCCACCACGATGCCCCAGATGGCGTCCAGGTCGCACAGGGACACGTACTGAGGGAGGAGGTCCAGCCCGCAGCCCCGGGACGTGCTGGCGTTTTCAGAGGCCACAGAGGCGATCGTGGAGAGCAGGAGGAAGGCGAGCACCTGGTGAGTTCTCATCTTTCTCTCTGATACCATGAACATTCTAGAAAAGCCAAGAAGAGGGGATGTGAGAAAGAAAGATTGATTCATTACAAGACTCCCCTTCTCCTTACCTCTTGATGAAGACCCACCTCATTCCAAACCTGCTAGCCCACATGGCCCCCCTGGGAAAAGGTGCCCTTACTCTAGGCAGGGGTATTTTGGCCCCTAATTGCAACCCTTGGCTGGGCGTAGGGAACAACTTGGAACCATCATTGCTAGTGGCTGCAGGACAGAGAGGGAGAGAGACTCAACTCGCTTTCTCTGTGTACTTTTTTGTAGTCTTTGAATTCAAGACTCCAGGCCACATCTGACCTCTTAAAAAATAAGAGAATAAAATGAAATTTTCAGAGACAGCCACTGGCCAAGTGCTGCGCTAGGAGAATGCGAGGGATCTCCTGGCTTCAACCTCTCAAGGCTAACATTTACTGAGTGACTCTGGGCCGGGAAATACTCACACCAGTCCTCAGAATGCCCTGTGAGGCAGGTCCTATTATGAGTTCCATTTTACAGTTGACAAAATAGTCTCCAGGAGGTGACAACCCTTGCCCAAGATCACACAACCATGCTCCTACAAGTGTCCCCACTCTACAGGCTGCCGGCATTTCAGACGTGGTATGCCCCAAAGAAGTTAAGTCTCCCTCAGTTCCATGTGTTGTCTCTTCCTCACACATTCCACGCTCCCCTCCAAAAGATCTGAGGAGCCTCCTTCTCCTCTGTCCCAGTCTGTCTCTTCCTGGGATGCCTGCTGGACCCTCTCTGCCACCTGCTTTCCTATCCCCCTGTGAGCTGGACACAGCAGGCTTGGTGACAGTCTTAACCCAAGTCTCTTGCCCCTCCAGCTCCCTCTGCTTGGGCACCCCCCCTCCCAACTCCTCCCCCCCAGCTTTGAGGCCATCAACTCAGACCTTGGCCAAGGTTACACCCCACCCCTCTCTACCATAGCCTCTGGTCAACTTCTTTCTGAGCTCTAATTATATCTGTCATTTTCTTTCTGTTTACTTTGCCCCCCTTCCCTCCCCCCTTCTGCATTGCAAGAGTGTGTGACAGGACAAGGACACCGCCCGTCTCTCTTGTTCATCAGTAGACCAAGCTCAGCATGACTGACATATGGGCTGGATCATTCCTTGTCGTGGTGGGCTGTCCTGTGCACTGGAGATGTTCAGCAGGATCTGGGGCTCTACCTACTGGTGCAACCCCTCCTCCAACTGTGACAACCCAGAATGTCTCTAGACATTGCCAAATGTCCCCTGGGGGAGCAAAATCTCCTGGATGAGAACCACCAGTGCAGACTGAAGCACTACACACAGTGCCCAGCAGAAAGTAAACACCACGTGAACAAGAAATGAGACGAGGATGGGAAACTGTCTTCCACACCACTGTCACTAGCTTCAGGGTTTTGAAGGGAGCCTGGCCTTCAATAAGGCCACCCAGGAAGCGGTGCTGGACACTCATTTCTGGGCATCTCAAGCCAGATCTACCGCCTTAGTCCAGCCCCCTGCGGGTTTGCGTTCAGCCACCCCCTGTATCTCTAGAGCATCCCTGGGGCTTCCTTAAGTAAATGCAGTATCGACCACCTCTCTCTGCCGGAGGGCCCGTGAGTGTCTCAGATCCTGCCTTGGCTGTGAGGCCTTCGACTGGCATAAATTATTGATGCTGCTGAAGCAGAAGCTGCCTGGTGTTGTAGGGCTTGCGTCTTTTGCCTACAGATGAGAGGAGGCAGGCTTGGCACAAAGGGCACTGTGCTAAGAGGTGCTCCTTAAACAAGCATCCCAGCATCCTCTCAGGCACATTAAGGGGTGAGAATGCACCCCCAGATGTCAACAACAGCCTGCAGCCCAGCACTGTCTGGGGCCCTGCAGCATCCCTCACTGGAGTGCCACCTGTGTGTGTGCTTAACTGTGTAGTTGTTTGCTTAACTGACTTACTGAGTGCTTTGAATCAACCTACTTGAAAGAAAACCAAACACATTAAAGTATTTATCTCTTGATATTTTAAAATCGCTTGTTGATGTGACCCATGTTGCATGTTCCAATGTAGTGCCCTCTGGAAAAACATCGTCCTAGACAGAAGTGCTTATCACGATGTACGGGAAGCGTTCTGGGAATCAAGGTGTTAAGAACTGGATGTATCAGAACAAAATACCATCAGTCCCTGACGTGGTGGAGGGGCCCTGGGGTAGACACCCTCAGACATCTCATCCATGGCTAACTCGGTTAAGAGGCTTCTCAGCAAGTCCCAGCAAAGAACAATCCAAGCAGCCCTGCTAAGTGGCCCACCAGTCAGTGCAAATGGCATCTGGTGGATAGATATGAGGGCTGCTGCTACATCTTATAATGCACAGGACTAGCCACCACAACAAAGGATTATCCAGCCCTAAAGTGTCAATTGATTATCCAGTCAATAGTGTCAAGGTTGAAAAAGGCTGGTTTGAACACTCCAGGACAGCACTGAACCAGGCAGGCCCCTCTACTGCAGGGTCGTGCCCCCCCCATCCTGCCAGGATAAGAACTTAGCCTGCATCTCCTCTTTCTAAGCCTGCCTGCAAACTGAGACTTTGTTTTTCCAGCTCCTTCCCTACCCTCCGTGGCTCTCCAACTACAACAGAAACCTGGGGGGATGATGGGAACACCAGGATAGTGACCATGCTTCTGCCAGTGTACCCTGTGGCCTTGGTCCAGGGCTCCTCTCTGACCCGGGAAATGGATACACTCTTGCTTTCTCCTTTCATCCCATAGGGTGGAACCCTCTGCTCTTTCCGGGACAGCTGTTGTTTTTGTTGCTCAGCATCCGGTTCTCCTATTTCCAGAAAGAGCTCCTGGTTTTCCTTTGGAGAGCTACCTTGAGCACCAACTCCCAAGGCCCAGGCCTGGCCAGACAGAGCATTTATCCTACCTACCCTTTGACCACAGTGACTGGTTCGTGGACAGGCACATGATATGAGCCAGACCCATGAGAATGAGCCATGGGACTGCTGCTTACCCTAACTGGAACGAGGTCTCCCCTTTCTGCAGGGGTTGATTAAGCTATAAGGATAGAGGCCTGATGCTGGAGAAGAGCACATCTGCCACCACAGGGAGAACCTGTCTGACAGCAAAGTTGACCCAGAGCCCTACTGCACCGAACAGCTGGATTCGTCCATTCCTAAAGCATGCACTGGTCTCTGCCGTACCACCAGCCCATCAAGTTCCCTTTGTTTGGATTAAGCCAGTTTGAGCTGAGTTTCTGTCACTTGCCACCAAAGCGGTTCTAATATTCTTCCCGCATCTCACGGCCTCCTTCTTCCAGGAAATCCTGTCTACCCAACATCTGAGCATGTAGATGCTACTGATGGCAGCCAGGGATAGTTGTGGGGGTCCAGGTGTTTCAAATGGGTCTTAATTATTGTAAGGATGCACCCATGAGGTGACAGCAGCCCCACTCTGTAGAACAACATCCAGGATGGTTGGGGAGGTGGTTTTCCACACCTGCTCACAGAATGAAGCTGAGGCAGGCTCAACTAGGATGTCGGGGGGGATGCAGAACTGCCTTGCAGAGTTGTCTATTACTCCAGTAGCCACAACAGCAGGTAACTGTCAACTCTCACAGGCCGCCTGTGTTCCAGGCACACTCTTGCACATCACATCGAATAACCTGTATAATAACCCCGATGAATCAAGTATTATGACCATCCCCACCTTGCAGGAGATAAAACTGTGGTACTAGGAGGTCAGTAGGCTTGTCCAAGGTCACAGGTCACATTGCTCGAAAGAGGTGGAGTCATGAGACAAACAATTGTACTATCGTTTCTTAGCTCTTCAGACTGAGGCTTTACAACTGTCACTTGGTGAGCTTTTTTGCTGGCCATTCTCTCTAAATTAAGTTCTCCCTGGCCCTGTTAGGGTCCGTGCCAATACTTTGTTGTCTTTGCAGCATGTGCCACAATTTTTAATTATTTTATTACATTTTTGGTCTGTTCCTCACCATCTACTTCCACCCCATGCCCAGGACCTTGTCTGTCTTGTTCCACGCCAATTCCCCAGTGCCTGGCACGTGGACAGGGCCCTTGATCCAGTCACTCAATGAATGAACTGATAAATAGGGTCTTCAAACCTCACACCACCCCGGAAGGGCAAATGTTCTCATTCCCATTTATAGAGAAAGAAACTGAAGATCCAAGAGGTTTTTTTTGAGACAGAGTGTCGAGCTGTCCCCCTGGGTAGAGTGCTATAGCATCACAGCTCACAGCCACCTCCAACTCCTGGGCTTAAGTGATTCTCGTATCTCAGCCTCTCAAGTAGCTGTGACTACAGGTGCCTGCCACAATGCCCGGCTATTTTTTGGTTATAGTTGTCATTGTTGTTTGGCAGGCTCGGACTGGATTTGAACCTGCCAGCTCGAGCTTGGGCCTGCCGCTTGAGCTATGGGCGCCGAGCCAAGATCTGAGAGGCTTAAAGACAAACTCAGGTACTCAGGGCTGGGCATGGTGGCTCACACCTGTAACCCTGGCACTCTAGGAGGCCAGGAGTTTAAGACCAGCCTAGGCGGCTCAGTTCCTGTGGCTCAAGTGGCTAAGGTGCCAGCCACATACACCTAAGGTGGTGGGTTTGAATCCAGCCCAGGCCCGCCAAACAACGACGGCTGCAACCAAAAAAAATAGCGAAGTGTTGTGGCGGGCGCCTGTGGTCCCAGCTACTTGGGAGGCTGAGGCAGGAGAATCCCTCAAGCCTAGGAATTTGAGGTTGCAGTGAGCTGTGATAATGCCACTGCACTCTAGCACAGGCAACAAAGCGAGACCCTAATCTCAAAAAAAAAAAAAAAAAAAGTCTGGCATTTGGCCTGGCAAGAGCAGTTTAGGGAGCTTGTTAGAAACACAGATTCTCAGGGGCTGGGTCCCACCACCTGTGTTTCCACAAGCCCTGCGGGTGGGACGCTTGCTGCACTGAGACTGGATAAACAAGGACATATACAGCAGAGGACCAGGACCCACAGCCCAGGCTCCTTCCACCTCCCCATCCCAGTTCCTGACAGGTGATTCCCACTCCTGAGCAGCTGCCCACTCTCAAGTAGGCCTCCATCCTGCTAAGTTAGCCACCTGGAGTCTCCCACCCCCAAGAGCCTGGCAGCTCCACAGGAAGCCTGAGCGGAACAATACCAGATTAGAGGTTTCAAGTCAGCCTGGAGGCAGGGCTGACTGGGAGGGGATGAATATATGGCAACAAACCCGTGGGATGCAGGCATGCGGCCTCAAAAGGAGTAATGAATAAATGTGAACGAACACACAAGACTCGGCTCTCATACTAATTACCCTTGCTGTCAGCCAGCCTCCAAAAAATGTGACTCACTCAGATGCTCTTAAATTTACTGCAACACACACACACTCCGCCAAGGAGAAGCAGCACACTCTCCTTATCTGCACCAGGGCCTGCAGAGGCTGGAAAGTTTGAACACAGGCAGGCAGGATTCCTTGCATGAGAAGGACAAGACATGCCTGGAGGCCACACACAAGGCTGGCTCTCCTGGCCCTGCTCCTACCTTGATGTGAACTTCGGAATCAGACCTCCCAACTTCAAGTCCTGCCCCTGGGCCACTTGGTAGAACCTTGTGACCCTGGGCAGCTGATTTAACCTGTCTTGCCTCAGTTTTCTCATCTACAAACTGGAGGTGATAATAGTACTCACAGCATGGTTGTGGTGAGGATTAAAATACTTAACAATTATGGTTTAGGACAGTTAGTTAACACAGTAAAGTGTCCACTAAGTAGTAAACAGGCTGGGTGCAGTGGCTCATACTTGTAATCCTAGCACTCTGGGAGGCCAAATGAAGCGAGCCGATTGCCTGAGCTCACAGGTTTGAGACCAGCCAGAGCCAGAGCGAGACCTTGTTTCTAAAAATAGCCGAGCGTTGTGGTGGGCACCTGTAGTCCCAGCTACTTGGGAGGGTGAGGCATGAGACTCACTTGAGCCCAAGAATTTGAGGTTGCTGTGAGCTATGATGTCACAGCACTCTACCAAGGGCAACAAAGTGAGACTCTGTCTCAAAAAAAAATAAAAAGTTAAAAATAAATAAAGATTGGCAAATGCTCCCTTGCCTAAGGTGGTGAACTCTTTTGAAACCAATTTTTCTAGGAAGGGCAGTTGCAATGGAGGTGGCAATTCAGGGGCTCACAGTTTCCAGCCTCCCCCATCACACCCCAACCAAAGACGTCCCTGAGGTGGCTTGAAAGGGAAATGCCAGTGAGGGTGGTCTGCCCTGGGGACCCCCAAACTCTCTGCTATCAATCGCAGGTGCTGTAAGTGGGGACCTTGCTGTGAAGGTAGAACTCAGGACGGAGGACCTTGGGATTTCCTGAACCAGGCATCTCTCTTGTGGAGTCAGAGCCAGGACATCTAGAGACTAGATGCCAGCCATTCTCTCGGAACCTGCATCCCCCATCTTCCCATGTACCCTTGGGAAAAGAGAAACAAAATATATAAAACCATTCTGGAACAAACCATTCTGCCTGGCCTTGCTCCCACCTCTGCCCTGGGTTCCCTCCCAGCCCAGCACATGTCCTCCCAGGCCTGGCAGCTCAGAGGCATCTAAACCTACCTTCTCTAAAGATGAGGCACTGGAACATAGAAGAGAAAATGAGTTGACTGGGGGAGGGGGGTCTTAGCCCCTGTTCAGTACGCAGATAAACATCTGGCACAGAGTTCACACTCTTATCAGACTCCTTGGGAGTGGAGTCAGACAGAACTGTGTGATACAGGGCATTCCTTAACCTCTCTGAACCTCGGTCTCTTCATCTTTAAATGGGGATCATTATAGTGTGTCTTCAGGAGGCCGGTGGGAAAAGGATGAAAAATATTCAGTTTGGAACCTGACACAGAGTAAGCATTAGGTATGGATTTGTTAAAAAGACAATCAAGATTTTCACTGCCCTGTTGGGACAATGAACGCTGAGAGGTGAAGCAGCTTTGGGCAGAGACTTACTGGGAGTTAAGGTCAACCCGGGAATAGAATTCATTTCTCCCAGCTCCTGACCCCAAGGTCTTTCCACTGCACTGCTGTTCTGACTCCCCCCACACCAGACAGAGGCCCAGAATGGGGCTGTAGAGCCCTCTCCCCACGCATGCTAGCGTTACACTCGAGTCCCAGCCCACTGGTGCATTTCCTGCTCATAGAGATTAGACTGTTACAAGGTTTCCTGACATCAAACACTTTCCCAGACCCACATATCTCATCCTCTGATATCTTTTCCATGTTGTGGGATCTCAGAATCTTAATTTCTCAATGCTGATTAGACCGTGGCCTATTTGGGGCCTTTCAAATTAAAAAAAAAACCCTCCTAGGTTAGTAAACAAGAACACAGGCTCCCCGATACATGAATATGCAAAGCAGCTCCATCCCTGTAAATAAAAGCCATCATTTAAATGCAAATTACATCCCGGGCTGCCCTTACCGAGTAGATGGCTCCTCTCTGGGGTTCTTATTCTGAGGAGAAAATGTGACTAACATGGAACCCCCAGGAAGTCCTGCAAAGCCAGAGTGCTTGGGGAGGGGAGGATAGCGGTGGGGGGCTCTCCGTAGGGTTGGTTATGGTAAGAATTGCTGGAAAATGGGCAGTGGATTTTAAACCCTGAGGCCCTCTTCCAGTCACCTCACAGGGCTGGACAGGCTTAAAGCGGTCCCCACAGGCTGAATGGAGCCCCTTGGAGGCATTGCTGTCCCTATAGGCAGAATGGAAAGGGAGCTGCTTTCTTTTGTAGAGGTCAGGGGAGCTTTTAAAAATCAGATCCCATGACTTGCCGCTCAAAACCCTCCAAGGGCTCACTGGTCCAAGCAGAATAAATCTTAAACACCTTTCCACCATCCAAAAGATTGTGATCTAGCTGGTTTCTGGCCCCCCCATCCCACCCCACCCGCAAATCTGTCTACAGGCCCAGCCACAATGGTCTTTGTTCAGTTCTCTAAGCCTCTGCACTGGCAGTGCGCTCTTCCTGGCTCTGACCTCCCGAGATCCCCCAGCTGCAGGCCCCTCACCTTGCCCGGCTTCAAGTCAGTTCTCAGGTGCACTTTCCCTTACTGTTTTATTTTCCCGTTGGCTCTTATCTCAATTGGATGTTACCTACCTATTTGCTGTTATTTACTTGCCGGGTTAGTGTTTGTCCACTCACCTTCCCCATCCTCTCAGAGCAGAGGCCTGTCCCTTTTATACAAGGTTGTTCCCCAGCACCCAGTTCTGTGACTTGCGCATTGATTCAAAACTCAAATTAACCAATGCAGATGTGGGGCTTATCTTTCTAACAAAACCGCAGGTCTTGCTGCCTCTGTCCCAAATGGCGCTCCCCACCCCCCCCTTCCTTCTCCAACTCAGCTGACCCCTTTTCAGACTCAGAGCAGGGAGCAGATAGGAAGCTGCGTTCACTCCACAGACTAGATACAAAACTGGCCGGGAGAGTTTCCAACCAACAGATGCCAATTTGCATTCTATTTACATGTCATTTGCATGCAGTTTAACTCAAAGTCTGGAAGCTCCACAAGCCCCTAGTCTCCACTAACAAACTTCTGAATTAAGGTTCTTTGGCTGCAGTGCGGGAATTTTTGTGCCAGATCCCTCCCCTCTCCACTTTGCATGCATTTGCGGGGTCCCCCTGTGCTTCCTGGACTCCGCTCAGGTGCCCCCCAGCCTGGTGCAGTTGGGCAGCCAATGTGGCGCGTGGGCTGGGGCCCCAGGCAGGGACGCCGCTGCCCGCCACACTCCAGGGGCCTTTGTCCGCGTTCCAAGGAGCCGCCCCCTTAGCGAATGAGGGACGTGAAGGGGGAACTGGCTAGGCCTGGGCGTGACAGAGCAAGGACCGGGAATGAACTCTTGGGGCTGGGAGACCTCTGGGGCAAGGTCGGTGTTTCCCCCCCATCCAGGGAGCCAAGGCGGGAGCGGGTTCCTCCCGTGCACTCCCCTGTCCGCCCAGGCAGTATATACCCCGGGATGTGTGCGGTCCTGGTGGGGCTGGAAGCCCATGTCCCCCAAGGAAAGAGGCCACATCACAGGGATAGTTCTTCTTTCCCCCCTCCCCTGGCCCAGTCGCCTCTCCCAGAGGTCCAAGTGCTCTGTGTCAGGAGCAGAAACCCCACCCCTCCCCTGCCATTGTATGCAGCCCCCCCATCCCTCAGCCCAGATCTCAGCCCTGCTTTTCTCCCCGCAGCGTCCTCCTCTCTCCTCTCCACAGCTGGGTAATGCAGAGCCACGGCCGGCTGCGAGCCTGACCCCCAGCCCCTGCGGCAGGTGCGGCTGCTACCCCCAAGTCCGACCCTTGTGCCCCCGTCTCCGTCTTCCAGGTCCATGGTCAGCCCCCCCACCCTCTGGCCACGCGGCCCCAGGACCTGCCCCCGGCTCCTAGTACACGACGAGTCACTCGGGTATGGCTGGACTCCTTTACGCTGCCAGCTACCCTTTACCTGGGGTCGCCCCCGACCCTCCTCCAGGACTTGGCTCTCTGCCGGGTCCAATACGGCCCTCCCCCCACCCCCGGGGAAAAGTCCGCTGCCTCTCCCCTCCTCTGCACTCCCCTCCCGCCGCACTGTGGTTCTCTTCGCCTGACCCCGCATGTCTCCCAGCAGAACTCCTTGGGAGGGGGCCTGGGAGGTTTAGAAAAGCATAAGAAGCGGGCGCCCCAATCCTCCTAATTCTACTACGGGAAAAGTTTCTGGGGTCCCCGCAGCGTCCCCATCGCCTCCGCGCGGCTAACACTCACCGACCCCCCGCGGCCCCGCAGCGCCGACGCTCCCGCTGGCCCTGGGCCCGAGTCACATCTCTGCAGGGCGGCCGCTGCTCCCGCTCCGCGCGCGCCTGCCTGCAAGTCCGGCTTCACTGCGTAGTTGTCTCGCGCCGCTGCCGCGGCCCCCGCCCCGCCCCCGCCCCGGGATGGCCCCGCCCCCAGCCCAGCCTCAGGCCCACTGGCTGCTCCGCGCTGGGTTGGGCGTCGGCAAGGATGATACCCCGGCGCGAGTTCGCCGCTTAGTACTCAGATTGCTGAAATGACATCCTCCCATCTCCAGTGTCCCAAATTCCAACTTCCCCCATCCGCCCCCCCCATTCACCAGACGCTCCGGGAGAGGAGCATCTCCCAGCCAACACAGACACAGAGGGATACGGCCTCCGCTGCGCGGGTCCTAGCTAAGGGGCCTTCCTGCGCCCAGGTCGCTCCACCACAGCTTCAGAAGCAGTGACTTCCCCGAAACACACCAGCATCGGGTCCAGGACGCAGACTGGATTAGGCCGGTGCCCTCCAAAGTCACCAGAGCCCCGGTACACACTCCGGCGCGCACACACCGCTTGGCCTCCTCCCGGTGGGTCCCTCCTGGACACCCCCCTCTCTCTTCTCTCTCGCACCTCCTGAGGTCCCTTCCCTTTACGCACACTGAGCCCAACGCCCGCGTTCTTGACCACTCCACACACATGTCCACACCGTGCACCCCCACGTAAGTCTGCACGCAGGATCAGCGCTTCCCCTACCGCACATATCACCCACGTACGCACAGGTCCACCACTGTCCTGTCACTCTCAGCGGCCCAGGTCACGGGCCGTGCGCTGTGCAGACACTTAGGGCACAGCCGCGACGCGGGGGACCTGCCTGAAGGAGGGGTCCGGGGCAGCCTCCCACCTTGGCACTGAGACCCCCTCCTAGCCCATACGCTGTCCGAGGTAGTCATTGCCCCTACCAGGCCCAGGGAGCAGCAGCACGTCTTGGAGCTGATTCCCTGAGTGACCTTCAGACCAGTAAACTGAGGCCTGTCTCAGGTCGCTCCCTCCGGCCAAAACCAGACCTTTGAAGATCTCACTTTCTCCCACTCTAATTTCTCAGGGTGAGACCCAACCCCAACCCCAGCCACGAAAGACACAGCAGAGAGATGATCCCTGCTCCCCTCTCTGGGGGTAGGAAGGCGAGCTGCAGAGTAACAGTCCCTTCTGGGCGTAGTTGCCGTCCCTGATCATTCCGCAGCATCAGGTACCCAGGATCCCCGATCTCGCATTTCCTGTCCCTGGTCAGGTCGCGCACCCCTCGGGTAGGCATCTCCGCCAGTACCTTTTACTATTTTTAAACACAAATGGAAAGAAAGAATCACAAGGGTAGAATTTCCCCCCAGTTTTATTTGCCGATGTATCGTCTGCGCCTAGAATAATCCCTGGCACACAGTAGGCGCATACTCTTTTCCGGTGTTCACGCAGGACCGTAGAATTGGAAAGTGGATGGGTACTGCCACCTGCTGGTCTACAGTGGAAGTGACGCCAAGATCCTTCTGTAAACGTGGGTTAAGCGCCCCTTTGAGAGCCTCAAAGTCCTCTTCTGTAAAATGGAAATTATTTTCATGTTACACGCCTCTTTTTTTTTTTAAATTTCTTATAGCATAAAAAATATCCAGGCGTTGTGGCGGGGGCTAGGTTTGAACCCACCACCCTTGGTATATGGGGCTGGCATCTAACTCACTGAGCCACAGGTGCTGCCCTACATGCCTCTTTGGGATGTTGTGAAGAAGTTCAAAGATCCATGGATTGATGCTATGACTACTACTACTACTACTATCTAGTGTTTACTGAGTGTTTACTGTGTGCCAGGAGTGGTTAAAATCTTTGATGTATAATAATAATAATAGCTAATATTTATATAGTGCTTACTGTGTGCCAGGAGCTACTAAAATCTTTAACTCATTTAATCACCCTAGCTACCCTTTAAGCCAGGTACCATTCTCCCCATTTTACAGGTGGATATACTGAGGCCCAGAGGGTTGAAGTACTGGCTAGGGCCATACAATTGGCACAGCCAGGCTGTCTGGCTCCACAGTCCATGCTTTAAACTTGGTGTCACTTGCTGCAAGATTAGACATTGTCAGAGGAGGCTTGTGGACTTGGAAGCTTACTCAGTCTCCAGCCTTAGAGAGGATGGCTCTAGGAGATGTGGGGAACTGTGTCAGCCTCACAAATGCTCAGTCCATTTTAGGCTAATGAAAAGCAGTGGCTTGGCCAGGTGCAGTGCCTCACATCTGTAAACCTAGGACTTTGGGAGACAGAGGTAGGAGGATTGCTTGAAGCCCAGAGTTTAAGACCGGCCTGAGCAACAGAGCAAGCAAGACCCTGTCTCTTAAAAAAAAAAAAAAATGGTCGAGCATGATGATGTCTGTTTATAGTCCCAGCTACTTGGAATGCTGAGGCTGAGGCAGGAGGATTGCTCGAGCTTGGAACTTTGATGTTTCAGTTTGATGAAACCCTTGTTTTCTAGCCTGGGCAACAGAGCAAGACCTTGTCTCCAAAAAGTAAAAAAAAAAAAAAAAAAAAAAATAGAGAGAGAAAGAGAGAGAAAGAAAATAAATGGCTCCCCTGGTGAAGAATAGAACCATAGTCTCTGCCATGGCCTCCCGCTGACAAATGCCATGGTGTGTAGTTAGGTATTTGTGTGGCTGTTTGGTGTCTGTCTATATCTCTAGACTATATCTCAGGGCTGACTAGTCTGGACTCTCCAATACAGTAGCCACTAGTCACATGTGATCACTTAGCCCTTTATATGTGACTAATATGACTGTGGAATTGAACTTTCAGTTTTAGTTACTCTTTCTTTGTTTCTTTCTTTCTTCCCTTTTTTTTTTTTTTTTTTTTTTGAGACAGAGTCTCAAGCTGTCACCCTGGGTAGAGTGCCATGGCGTCATAGGTCGCAGCAACCTCCAACTCTTGGGCTCAAGCCATTCTCTTGCCTCAGTTTTTCTATTTTTTAGTAGAGACGGGTCTCACTTTTGCTGAGGCTGGTCTCCAACTCATGAGCTCAAGCTATCTACGTGTCTCAGCCTCCCAGAATGCTAGGATTGCCGGTGTGAGCCACTACACCTGGCCTCAATTTGGTTTACTTTTAATTAATTTACATTTAATAGGCTGGTAATGTGGCTGGTGGCTTCTGTATGTACAGCACATCTCAAAGCTCAATAAAACTTTTGTTGATGAAAAGAATAATTTAGCTCTAGACTTGCTTTCCCCTTTAAAGTGTATCTATTCTGTGTTCGGACCTTTCATTGTCTTTTCTCTGTTAATAAGTAGATCACCTCTTCTCTTTAAAGTTGGAACCTTACAAGGTACTGTCTGTATCTTACATGTGATAAAACTCAGGCTTAGGAAATGTTGAGGGACTTTCCCTCAGTCTTACAGCTGGTAAGTGGCTAAGAAAAGCTTACCTATTCATTGTCTTCCCACTTCACCTCATTGCTTCACAGGTGAAATTTCTGGAAATATCAACCTAATTTCATAGGGTTAGGTTGAATTAGTTTGAATTTTCTAACATGTAATGAGCAGAGTAAGTCATAGACTGTGGGCATTAAAAGCAGGAAAGAGCGCTGCAAGTGATTGGTGATGTCTGTCTCAGGCACAAAATAGTGGATAGACGGCAAGGGGGATGTCCCACATTTGGGTGCTCCTGGCTGATCATTTTAAAGATTCACTCAGAGATGCAAGCATCCTGGACTGTCAGGCTGAGAATTGGTGGGGGTTCAAGCACTTGACAGGATGATATTTTCAGTACCTGTTTAATTGCCTCGGGCAGGTGACTGCCTGAACATGGGACCCTGATAGTTTATACTAAGTGCCAGGCTGTGTGCCAGAACTTGTTGGTCCCTAGATGGATAGGATGTGATCCCACTCTCTGGGAGCTCCAGGGCAGTGGAGGAGGCAGACTCCCTCAGTAAAGTGAGGGATATGCTAGCCAGGGCATTGTGGATCCACCTACCAGAGACCTCTTACCTACCTCTGCTTGGCCAGGCTGAGAAGGGGATCAGACTTCTCAAAGCACTTGACTCTCCCTTTGGCTTGGGAATGGGGACACAGCCCATTGTGTGTTATAAAATTCAGTCACTGTGGCAAAGTGTTCCTTAGCAATGTGCCCTTCCTTACAGGTGTTCACCAACCATTGTGTCAATTACAATCACTGTGTTGTAGCCATCTGCTCTTCCTTTCCTGTGTTGGTGCCCACAGGCTCTTGTCTGTGGTACACAGATTGCTTGGAGTAGCCTTATCATGGCCCTTATGGTCCCTGTGAGGCCACCATGGGGGGACATCCACCCGATGTTCCCAAAGCTGTCAGTTAGAAAATGTTCATGTAACATGATAATTGTTTTTTTTGTTTCTTGGGTTTTGGGTTTTTTTGAGACAAAGTCTCGCTCTGGCACTCTGACTAGAGTTCCATGGCATTATAGCTCACAGCAATCTCAAGTTCTTAGGCTCAAGTGATCCTCTTGCCTCTGTTTTTCTATTTTTAGTAGAGACAGGGTCTCATTATTGCTCAGACTGGTCTTGAACTCCTTAGCTCAAGCAATCCACTGCCTTGGCTTTCCAGAGTGCTAAGATTACAGGTGTGAGCCACTGTGCCCAGCTGCCCAACACAATAGTTATTATGGCTTAGAGATTAGGGATACTTGTTATCACAGAATGATAAGTTGGGATGTAAGTAATCTCACAATTGGTTTGTTGCTCAATGATGGAAACAAGGGTACAGATTCTTTGCAGTCTTCTCTGCCACCCTCAACTTGGCACCTCACAATCACAAAATGGTTGCCACAGCACCAAGCATCAAATCATCACTTGACAGTCTCCAATGTAGGAAAGAAGGTATTCAGGAAAGAGAATTCACCTTATGAGCCTATTAATCAGGAAGAAAATCATTCCTAGAACTGCCCCCACTCCCTGCCCCAGGGGCAGGATTCCCCTTATAGTTCCTTGGTTAAAAAGGGTCACATAGTTTCCCTGAGTGCAAAGGAAACTTGGGAAGTGAATACTTGGCACAAACAGACTAAAGAAAGAGGGTGTGGGAAAGGTTGTTGAGGTAGAAGCTGGCTGTGTCTGTCCCAGGTGTCCCTCCTTGGGGTGAGCAGGGAGCACGGGGC